CCTTTCAGAAAGATTCATTTCTGAACCAAAGTGACAACATGTACCTAGATCAGAAATACAGAAAAACAGAAATAATGAAAAACAAATACTAACAGTCTTATTAGTTGTATTTTTAGGTAGTTCCTAACGCATAATTTAAGAAGATGGAAAGCCACCATCTATATGTTAAAATGGGTAACTATATGAGATGATACATGTTATTCATTAGTAGTAACCATGTTACCATATGCTTGTACTTTACAACATCATGTTGTGTACCCTAAATATACAAAAATAAAAGTTACTTAGAAATATAAGGAAATTTGAACACCATGAAACATGGTCAACACAATTGATAATGAAAGCAACAGATGTGGGGTTTCCATTAATTACATGTAGAAAAATTACAGAATTTTAGGTCAATTGTATCCTATTTTTATACACTGTATATTCTAAAATCATGTGGTTCAGTAGAAAGAGCTGTGTTTAATTTTATGGCATATAATTGTGTGGCTTCATACCAATATGAAATTTTCTTTGAAACACCACATGTCTTTACCTCATGCTAGATAATAGTCTAGATGCTTTATAAATATTAAAATATTTAATATTTGTAACAGACTGATGACATGATCCTCTGTGACAGCTGAGGAATCTGAGTCACAAAAGAAGTTAAGCAACTTGTTGGACGTAAAACATCTAGTTGATAGTGGGGCTGGGACCTTAACACAGGCAGTCTGATTCTAGAGCTCAATCTCTTAATCACTAGGTAAACCATCTCTTGATGTTATAAACTTGCTATTCTGTTTGTTGATGTATTTTTTAAAAAATAGATTTTTTTTAAAAAAATTAAGTAATTATTTTTTAGTAATATCTTTATGCACAATTATGTTTGTCAATAAGAAAACTGTATTCAGATAGCATGACTTTCTTTCAGTTAAAAACTATTTTCTTTAAGACTAAGTATGAAATACAAACTTAAAACAAGTAGGGTTTGAAAAAATTATTTTGCCTTTCTGTGTGAAATAAAAATGATTCTTTTTTTAAAGAGAATTTTTAATATTTAAAAATATTAAAAATATTTTTAAAATAACTTTTTGTAACAATGATTAAATTTTGCTAGCTTGAATGTACTTGATTAGTGTTGAGAGCCACAGCCTGAGGGGCCCCAGCAAACTTCCAGCTGCCAGCAAACTTCCAGCTGCCGGCTGATGATTGGCTCACAGCAGCCCCAGCAACATCTAGCTGATTGGCTCCTCGGCCCCAGCAACATCTAGCTGATTGGCTCCTCTGCGGTGATGCTCATTGGACTGTTTCCCTGCCCTTTCAGACCACGGAGCTGCTCATTGGGGGACTTTTTTGGCTCCGCCCACGTGACCCAGCCAATCGGCCTCAAGAGCAGGAGGATTGTGGGAGGTGGGGAGAAGCTTGTGTGGGAGAGAGAGGCTTGTGGAAAGCCGGTGGTGGCAGTTGAGGCTCTGAGGGTTTTTCCTGAGAGACTATTTTGTTTGTCGTGTGTGGTTCTAAAAATAAAGTTAGTTTCTTTTGACAAGTGGCTCCTGATTGTGCCCAGCCAGACTGCGGCATTTCGCCTAGCCGTCTCCTTGCAAAATTCCTCATTGGCAACCTTCCATAACAGGTATTGTCCTCCATTTAGCACAGCTTTACACATATTAGCCCAATCTGCTGGCGTCATGTTCAAGTTGTTAATGGATTCGACCAAGCTTACAGTGAAGGGTGCTTGAGGACCATAGGTTGTTACAGCCTCTTTTAGCTGCTTCACTGTTTTGAAATTTAAAACTTGGTAAAATCGCTGCCCTCCTGCCTCAAATACAGGGCATGTTAGTATTTGAGATCTTGTCTCAGGATCCCAACTATCAACTGCGGGGGTTGGGGGCCTCCCAGCATATGGAGGTGGCGCTGTTGGTTGGACACTTACGCCCTCTGGTGATAGAAAGGTGTTAGTAGCAGTCTCCTGTAGAGGTGGTGCTGTTGGTTGGACACTTACACCCTCTGGTGATAGAAAGGTGTTAGTAGCAGTCTCCTGTTGTACCTTTCCCCCTGATGGCTTTTTCTGTTTTACACTTTCTTTCTCTGTCTGACTAACTTGAGAGACCTTCTCTTTTACTTGAATCATTATGTCTTCTCCTTCCTCTACCATTGTCTGAACTGAAGGCTTTGGACTAAGCAAACAAGATATGAACGTCCACAATGGCAATGTGCCAACTGGCAGAGTCCCTGGGCTTTTCTTTTCTATTCTTTTTAAATCTTCACCATGATGGTTCCATTGTGATATATTTAACAACTCCTCCTTAAAAAGCCATGGGCTACATTTTTGTATTGTATCAACGTATGCCCTGACTGCTCTTGATTTTACTGGGATGCCTCCTTCCTCTAACAATTTACTTAACACTCTTTCAGTTTGTTTTTTACTAATTTCTGATCCCGTATTTCTACTATAATACAACCCAACAAGATGACGCCAAACAAAACCGAGACAGAATGAAATAAAAAGGGAACAACAGAAACTCATTATAGCCTTTCTATCCTCCTGACATGTGCATCCATCCTTTCTCCCTATCTGTTCCTCAGATGTAAATAGTTTTTCCTCAGATGTGAGCGGTTTTTCTTCCGTCTCACTCATCTCCAGGGACAGGCAACTTAAAACAAAAGTGAAACAAAATAACAAAAGAAGAATCTTAAAATGGCTACCCATCCTCTCGCCCTGCCCTCAGGGGCGAGCAGTTCACTTACCCTCAGTCGCTCCCCGTGCGAGCCACCAAATGCCGCAGTCTGGCTGGGCACAATCAGGAGCCACTTGTCAAAAGAAACTAACTTTATTTTTAGAACCACACACGACAAACAAAATAGTCTCTCAGGAAAAACCCTCAGAGCCTCAACTGCCACCACCGGCTTTCCACAAGCCTCTCTCTCCCACACAAGCTTCTCCCCACCTCCCACAATCCTCCTGCTCTTGAGGCCGATTGGCTGGGTCACGTGGGCGGAGCCAAAAAAGTCCCCCAATGAGCAGCTCCGTGGTCTGAAAGGGCAGGGAAACAGTCCAATGAGCATCACCGCAGAGGAGCCAATCAGCTAGATGTTGCTGGGGCCGAGGAGCCAATCAGCTAGATGTTGCTGGGGCTGCTGTGAGCCAATCATCAGCCGGCAGCTGGAAGTTTGCTGGCAGCTGGAAGTTTGCTGGGGCCCCTCAGGCTGTGGCTCTCAACAGATTAGCAAAATAGAAATGTGTGTGTGCTTAAGAAAGATGAGCAATATTAATTGGTCATGGGAAGATTATGATATGCCATTACACATATGAATAATTCTTGATTTGTGAGTGTAAATTAACTAGCATGTTTAAAGCTAAATAATATAGTTCCCATGTAAGAAGAATGATATGTTGAAAAATCGATTTTCTTCAGCAGAATTGAAAATTGAGATTTGACTCATTTGATAGTGCCATGTACACCATGAAGGCAGTCCAAACACTCACATCTCCTATTCCAAAACTTAATAATAATCACTCTTTAAAATGTCTTTGTGTATAAGACGTCCTATATTGTTTCCAAAAGAAGGTGTTCCCGCCACATCAGAGTAATTCATGATTTTGGGGAACTCATATATATTGTGGATATTGTTCCTTTAATTTTGTAGTTGGTAAGATTATGAATCTGATGACCTAAGTCACTCATATGGTTATTCTGGAATACAGTATATTACAAAATTATTGCTGCATACCTCTCATATCAAAAATTATAAGAATACAGTAGAAAATTAAAATTATCAGTGTCCTTACCTGAACATTAGAGAAGCATGGTAGCTACTGTAGCTAAAATATTTCTTAATTTTTGTGAATTTGTTTGTATTGTAAAGATCATGCTAAAACTATCCCAACTAGAACTTTCCTACTAGGCAGAATTTATATACTCCATAATTATATCTGTTATGAATGATGTTATTTTAAATGATTGATGAGGAAGGAAAGTAAAATTGAAATTCAGATATTTCTATCATCTTTCATGTGTATAGATATTGCATTGACAACTTTGCATAAATTTATTCATACCATTTCACACTGGGATTATACACTGCTATCGTACCTCTTGCTACTTTATTTTTGGATGGTTGTAATACAATGTATGTGGTTTTATAGTTTATGAATATTTTGCATTGTCTTAATTTATGTATGCTTAAGAAACTTTCAGGTACTAACACTTACTTTATGACTAAGAGACTGTGCACACTTAAAACTGTTAAAGGACCTAGGAATAGTTTAATTATTTAATTATGATTCTGTTTAAATAATCAGGGAAATAATTTGTTCCAAAGGGAATAATGAACAAAAATTTCTATGCAAACATCTTCCACCAGTTTCATCCACTCTCACACAAACATTCACACATTTATCTACTTATTTATCTATATTTATATTGGTATCTATATTGATAGATATACATATATATGAACACACACATATTGTATAATAATGTATTCTTAGAATCAAGTTTATTCCATGTTTATCTAGATACTGAAAATTACATGAATAATATTAAATAATTTCTAATGTATTTCCCTAAAATAACTGTAAAATGAACAATTAAATGTAACTATCACAATTTACAATAAAATTAATTAGGTATTTAAATGTATTATTTCCAAGGAACCCAATTTTATAAAACATTTATTCAGACAAATGAATATTAGTTGAAAGTTCTGATTGTTCCTCAATAGCTTTTAATGATCCACTGGATGGCATTGCTATGGATCTGTTATGATGCAATAACTTATTTTTTCATTAGTATAAAAAAGGAAAAAATGTATTAAAATATATAGCTCTGAAAAAATAAGTTGTTTTAGTTTTCTTCTTATTCACTTGTTATTATCTAATTTAAAACAATTACCTTAGACTAAAAAAAAAAAAAAAGAAAAAAGAAAAAAAGAATAAACTAGTCACTTCAGCACCTTAACTGATAGAAAAGAACCTTCCAGGGGCTAACTAATTGCCTGTGTATTTTGTCTAGGTGTTGAGGGAAAGCTAAGAGAATGAAGGCTCTAAATCCCCAGTGGAAGCATGATATGGCGGAGCAGAGCTGGTGCTGAATTGTTCTCTCTGATGGCTCTATGGGAGTGGATAGCACTGAGTCTTCATTGCTGGGTTTTAGCAGTTGCTGCTGTTTCGGATCAGCATGCCACAAGCCCCTTCGACTGGCTCCTCTCTGATAAGGGACCCTTCCATCGCTCACAGGAATACACAGATTTTGTGGACAGAAGCCGGCAGGGATTTAGCACAAGATACAAGATATACAGGTATGAAGCAAAGGGAAAGCAATTACAGAGATATCATCCTTGAAGGTTGTGTGTAAATAAGTTTCTCTAAGGGAAAGTTTCAGAAGGGTTATTATTGACTATGCACCATAGTAATGCTTTCTCACCATTTAAAATATTTCTTTTACATGTGACATCTTATGAGAAAAAAATAGGTAATGGTGACCACTTGTGTATCACTCCCAAATTTTAGAATGCTGTCTTAAAGTAAATGCCAGTATACTTTAATGCAGAGTTTCTCATTTTAACTATCCAAAAAATGAGAATGAATTTTCTTGTATTGCTTTTCCTTTCTACCTTACACCATTCTCTGTTATCTATGTGAGTCAAATGATAATCTATCTTGTACTAGTCATTCATTTGTTTCCTGAAAAATAGTTGTACATTTAGAATTCGTAGGAAACAGCAATGGAACGAATGAAAAGAAATAGATGAATAGTCCATGATAGCAAAGATGAAAGGAAAAAAAAGGGATTAAGTCACTTTTAACTTTTATTACTCCTCCATATTTGAAATCTAAATAAGTTTTACAGAAGAAATCGGATATTAAATCAAACAAAGACTACCTGGTTCTGCAAAGCCCAGTGAATCCATTAAGTAGAGGAGTGTACAAGTGGTTGCCTCAGTGAATTAGATTGTATTGATCTTTGCCATAAAGAATGTTTTATTTCCAGTTATAGCTTTGAATTGGTTCTTAGTGGTAGAAGTTTACAATACTGGTTTGGCATTTACAGAGAAGGAAATTTTGTTTTGCATTTTTGTGTCTGTGTCTGTATCTATGGATATACTGCTGCATAATCTTTTATTTTATGTTGTATGCACACCAGAGGGCACTGTGCTTCAGTCTGTATGCCATCTTTTATTCATCACTGTGAGAAATTTATCAATCCTATTATCAATTGATATTTACAGATGACAGTGTGTTGAACCATTTCCATGAAGCATCAGGCAATAATTGCCATCCTTTTTAAAAATAAGAAATTCCTTATTACATGTGTCCAAAGCACTTTTGCATATCTAACAAGGAAAAAAAAACTTAATCAAATTTTTAAAAATTTAAATGACAAATACTAAAGTTTTTTCACCTAAATTTAGCAGAAACAGTAAATATATCATGATTTGTATTTCCTTCATTTGTGTGTTTAGTGGGTTAGTCAGCGTCTCTTTACAGATTGTATAAAGTTACTTGAAATTAAGATTGCATGAATGTCTTATATTTCAGCATTCTGCAAGAGTATTTTTAACAATCTGTCAAACAGAGCAAGTCTGCATGATTTATTGGCATCTCTTTCTGAGGTCTGAGGTGTTGTCTTATGTGTGATGGCTAAGGCTTGGCATATTGGTCTATCAGCTGTGAGTTGCAAACATGGTTTGACATGTTTCTAGAAGTTATGGGCTGAATAGAAAAGAGGCATTATTTGAATCACAGTAGAAAAGGTAATGAAAAAAAAAAAAGATTTGGGATTTGTCTGCAAGGCTCATCTATCCTGTTTAGCCTCAGTGGGACTCTATCTCTAAAGCCCTCATTAGCTCTGCACTCCCTATCCTTCCTCTCTTCACCCAGGGAGCTTGACCAAACATGTATGGATATTAAGTACAATTGTAAACAGTGGATTAAGATATTCCCTTCTATACCCAGCTGGGCTATAACTTCTAATGAAGGCTTTTAAACATTTCTAATGATATTATGATCACTGGGGGTTGCCATAAAATGAATAATATAATCTATTTAATAGGGTTAATTTAGACTTGATAAAAATGAAGTATTTCATTTGTCCAACTGGTATTTTCTTAAGTCTCAGAGATGGCTATATGCATAACTATAAAATAAAATGAGTTCAAACTTTTCTTCAGGCAGTTAACCTTATTTTGAATGGCTACAGAGTCTTAAATCCTGGATTAGTGTACCTTTCTAGCTTTGTTTTTATTTTTGACTTTTTTGTTCTTCAAAAAATTATTAGAGACTATCTTTCATAAATGTGTGCCTTAAGATACAGTTATGGAATTTGTAAATAATTAAGACACATAGATGGAAACAATATTTTTCCACATTTAAGTGCTTACCATTTAAAAAAATAATGTGTAATCTCCTAAACTGACCATCCAAATTCTGCTAGTGCTTGTTATTACTATCATAAAATCCTCATGTGGCATATTAAATTGACATAACATCTGAAAGACATTATTTATGACTATGAAACATATTAAGCCTTTTAAAATAATTAGGTAAAATCTCTTTCAGCTGTCTTTCTTCATTCATTACATTTTCCAGCAAATATTTTTCTTTTTATCACAAACAGAACACTAAGATAACAATTATCAAAGATTACTAGGATCATAGGTAGGGATAATATTCAAACCATTTTTTGTCTTTTTCAAGAAAGTACATTTTGGTCAATAAATAGGGCTTATGTTTGTATTTTTGAAGTGATGTGTATGTAAAGTATTTTCAGGTTTGCTTCTGAAACTGTATAATCACTAAGATCTTGTAGGTCACAGAATTGAAGGATATATAGTGTGAATATTAATATTTCTGTTGTTATTGGGTTTCATATATCTATTCCTCTTACCTACAAACTAATAGAACCTAAGAATCAGGCACTCAAAGGTAAAGGGAAAGAATTCTCATTTTTAGCTATGCTTGGAGAAATTTTGTCTCTCAGAAGCATCATATAGGACTACTTTTGATTTACAGTTACAGAATAGAAACACACTTGGACAGTGAGCCTAACTAGTATATGTATAATTTTTTCCAAGACATATGTGTAAATTCTCATTTTTTAATAAGTTACAAGAGTACTAGGCAAAATAATATTTTTTAGTGACACAAATTTAGATACAGAGATCTTAAACCAATAATATGAATGTTTAGGTCATAGCCTTGCAATTTTTATTACCATAAAATAAATATTCACTTATGTAAATCTTTAAAGATATGGTCACACAATTTTTTTCTTCTACATCTTTTGTTTAACCACTCATGCAAGTAAATCATGAAAATAAGTTGATGATTTTCTTACTATATTTCAAAATAACTACAAATATATGGTATTACTACAATTTAGCTTGTTTTCTCAGAGTAATTTTTTGAAGAATCCTGCCTACTTTGGTAAAAATAGAAGACAGTTGAGAGAAATGTTATGCTTCATTGATCTTTGTAATTATGTTCTCTGAAAAAAAGTACTTACAAGATGATTTGGTAAGGATAAGATATGCTAAAAGCCTAGAAAATATATTCAGATATATGACCACTTCATATATGATGTAAATTTTGGCATATATGCTTCTTTCTTATGGGTATCTACATAAAGGAAAACAGAAATTGGATTTATTACTCATACCATATATGTAAATCTGTTTTGTCTGAAAGAAGGATCTAAAGAGGGAAGATGGAAAATATTGTTTCTAGAAGAAAACAAAATACCATTATAACATTGGGATACTTAAGGATTTTCTGAAACATAAGGCATTAAGCATTAAAAAGCAGCAGTCAATTCAGATATATTTATATGGATATAGCTACCAGTAGCAGCATGTTGAATCTGTGAAACAGAAAGTCAAGTGAAGAAAAACTCACACGTGAGCAAAATTATATATGATTTTATTTATTTCAGGTTTCCAAAACAGACAGAACTAAATTATATCATTTAGATATGTATAGTAAAAGATGCTTAATAAAACTTAAAGGAAAGCAAGGAAATGCATATGACCAAAATCAATATTGTGCTTATTTATGGGGAAGGGAGAATTATGGGATTTTATGTGAAAGATGAGGGACTATGGTAATAACAATATTCAGTTCCTTAAATGGGTGATGCTTATGCTGGTATTCTTTGTGATATAGCCACAGCACAAGTGATCCATCTCTCTCACCATGTTTGGAGTTAGTAGTACATTAGAATAATATGGTAAAAAGAGGAGTGGTCCAAAGAATATGTGCCTGCAAAATGTGGGATGTACTTAACTAAAAAAAAAGTAGAATAGTCAAAATTCAACTTAACTTAAATTTTTAACAGAGGAAGTAGAAAAAGATTAGTATATAATGTTATTGCAAATCACAAGGGAATAACTGCTAGATATTGGAAGGTGTCATATATATCTTAAAATTTTCTGTCACAAATAAAAACTAACATTTAAGAAATCTAAAATAATGAAAATGACAAAAAAATATAAAACTTGGAAAAAGGTGACTTCAAGGAAAACCAAAAGTATAATTAATACAATAAATGTATTTTAAGCTCCAAGTATTATAAATAGATTCACATTTTTGAATATGCTACATATAGTAATATTACCTAAAACAAAATTATACATAACATAAAAGTAAAAAGATGATTAATTTTCTTAAATGCCATATAATACTATGTACTGAATAATAAAGTATACAAGATGTCATATGAAAGTGCAATTTACCATTCTTATTCTTCGTGAATGATATAGACTACAACAAAATCAGTGTAGCAGTACTAAGATAATTGGATTATGGAATTTAGTACCATTGTATTAATTTGTAGAATATTGTATAAGTAACATGAATTATTCTTATTAAAATAATACTTGAATATTTATGTAATTTGTTTTTCTTCTAACCCCCCAAATTTTAAAATTCTTAATTAAATCAATATATGCCTACATTTTGGAATTCTCAAAAATCTTAATTTCATAACTTTACATTGATATATTCAGAATATAAAATTAAGGAACTTAATTCATTTGCTCATAAAATTTAAAATCCAAAGAATTTTAGGGGAATTAAATGTGATTTTATTTAAAAAAAATACCCTATTGTGAAAAATTGCTTCAGCGATTCTTCAAAGTTTAGTAAACAGAAAAAGCCACAACAACAAAAGAAATATCAAACAATGCATGAAAAGAGACACATGAAAAGAGAAAATAAGAATCAAACTATTTTGATTTATTTTACATTTCAGCATATACACATGTATAATCAGAAGACTAGAAGTAACACATCTAAATGTTTG